ACTGAAAATATTGCCAAAGAAACGTGGTCTATTGTCAACGACTTGAGAAATAAGGCTATCTCTTCCAGTATAACCTCTACTTCCCCTGAGAACTTGAATAACTACTTTGTAAATGTGGCAAAAAAATTTAATGACCACTATAGCTCCTTCTCGCGATCCGCTTTCATATCTTTCCAGTACCAATATGAATTTACACAGTTTCTTCCTAACACCCGTAGAAACACTAGAGCTTTTCAGCACAATTAAAGACATAAAAAACAAAGTGTCATCTGGGACTGATGGACTAACTTTAAAAATGTTCTTCAATTTACCGGAGTGTACATTAAATCTCCTCACTGCTTTAATAAATAAATCTTTTCAACAAGGAGTGTTCCCAGATTGCCTCAAGACGGCTATAATTATTCCTCTGCACAAGGGAGGTGATAAGGACCAAGAGTCGAACTATCGTCCAATTGCACTTCTTCCTACTTTATCCAAAATCATTGAAAGATTGGTTAAGAAAAGGCTTCTATCATTTCTGCATAAATATAATATACTAACTATCCACCAATTTGGATTTTTAACCAACAAATGCACTATTGATGCTATGTTCTCTGTCTTCAATAATGTCTTCTCTAGCTTGAACAATTTGCACTCCACAGCATCAATTTTCTGTGATTTTTCTAAAGCATTCGACTGTGTAAGTCATAATATCCTAATTAACAAATTGCAGCATTATGGAATTCGAGGCTCTCCTCTGGAATGGTTCAAGTCGTATCTTAACAACAGAAAACAGCTTGTGAGGGTTGATACGACGACATCTTCATGCAAGCCAATAGAATGTGGAGTTCCACAGGGTTCCGTGTTGGGTCCAATATTATTTTTGCTGTTTATCAACGATATTGCTAGTCTAGACATCAGCGGTAAAATCTGTCTTTTTGCTGATGATACTAGTTTCACTTGGAGCAACCCGGATATTGTAGCTCTTCATAGAACCATGTCCATCGACTTGTTGGCTATTAAAACATGGTGCGACTCTAACTTCCTCTGCTTCAACGCTGCGAAAACAAAAGTTCTATCATATAGAAGTACGATGCAACCTATTGTACTTAATAACACTACTACTATTGACGTCGTTGATTCCGTAAAGTTTTTGGGCCTTATTATAGACAAATCCCTAAAATGGAACTCGCACATCGATTCTTTATCAAAAAAATTAAGTTCCGCTTGCTTTGCGATAAGATCAGTTTCCAAGGAACTCAACTTGTCAACTTCTAGAACAGTCTACTTTGCCCTTTTCGAATCACATCTTCGATACGCCCTTCCATTCTGGGGTTCGTGCTGTGCGACTCAATTTGACCGTATTTTTAAATTACAGAAGAGAGCTATTAGATATTCCCTAAAATTAAAAAATAGAGCTCATTGCCAAGATTTTTTCAAAAAATATAAAATATTAACACTTCCTTCCCTTTTCATACTAGAATCAGTCTGCCTTATCCGCAAACACCTACCCAGTATTTCAGAAAGGCCATTGCATAACTATCCACTTAGAAACGCGGAGCATGATCTTTATCTGCCAACTCCATCCTCCGAGTTAATTAAGAGCTCCATTCTATACAACGCAAAAAAAATGCACAATCATCTGCCAGTAGTCATCAAGTCCATAGCATCTCTTCCTAAATTTCGCATAGCTCTAAAATCCTATTTATCAGAGAGAGCCTTATATAAAGTAAATGACTTTTTTCTGACTTAATTTTGAGCGTTCCACACACTGGATCATAGTTTATAGGTAATTTGTTCATTTTTGTATTTGTTCATGTTATATTTGTTTATGTTTATATCATTTTATTTTGACTTTGTATACATGTAGATGTATATAATATGTATTTTTAACTTTAAGGCTTAGTCTACAAATTATGTTATAATTTTTTTGACAATAAAGCATTATTATTATTATTCACAAATCACGAATGCAAGAGACCCTATAAAGTTCTGTGTTATTGATGGAATAATTAAAAAATAAAGGATTTTTAGATCTGCCAAAGGATATTATTTTACATTTATTAATGTTCAAACCAAGATGATTTTTATAACTCCAATTTGAAAAATGATTGAGTTCCTCCTGAAGGATCAAACAGTCACTGATATCTTTCTGATACTTTTCTGCAAAATGCAGAAATTTGCAACTTCTAAAAACAGTATTCACATCATTTAAGAACAAATTGAATAGTAGTGAAGACATACCCCTCCCTGAGAAACACCCGAGGTTACACAAATATCACTAGAAAGAGAATTTACGATTTTTACTTTGTGAATTCTATCTGTAAGATTACTAACTAGCCATTTGTGAAAAATACCATGAATTCCCAGAGACGCAAGTTTTGGTTCCAAAATTTCATTGTCAACTTTATCAAATGCCTTAGAGAAGTCTGTGTAAATTACATCCACCTGATGACCTTCCTCCAAGGCACCAAACAGGGTTTGCTCCATAATCAACAGGTTTAAAACTGTGGATTTTCTCCTGACAAATCCATGTTGCTCTAGTATGATGATGTTTTTGAATAGACGTGTAATCTTATCGGTAATAATTGCCTCAAAAACTTTTGAAAAACATGATGTTCTAGTAACTGGTCTGTAATTCTCAATGCTACATTTGTCTCCACTTTTGAGTACTGGTGTTACATGACTTAGTTTCTAGCATCTTGAAAACACTCCAAGAGATTATGATTTATTATATATCTGACATGAAATAGAAGATAATTCATAAATGCAATTTTTTATGACATAAACAGGAATATTTCAGATATAAGGTCTGTTTCTGCAGAAATTACAAACCAGTCAGAGCGAATTTCATTGGTTGAAAACAATCAGAAACAGTCAGAAAACTGGTTTCAACCAATGAAATTCACTCTGACTGCTTTGTGATTTCTGCAGAAACAAACCTATTATCTGGACCACTACTCAGGTGAGATTTTAATTGTGAAATTTTATCACAAACATCCATAACCTCGATGTTATTGCTACTCAGATTCACGGTTAAATCGTAGGAGGCATTAAAGTCGGTTTCATCATATTCCGCATATACAGACGAAAAATGGCCTTTAAAGAGCTCAGCAATACCAATTGATGTGTCAGCATTTTCATTCATGAAAAACATATTAGTAGGAAAACCTTTTGCAATTTTTTTTTTAATTCATGTAACTACAAAAATATTATCCTCTATGTTATCTAAGTACCTTTGATGGCTGACATGGGCATATTCACGACTCTGAGTGCGTATTTGAGAAAAAATACAATAGTCTTCCAAAGAAAGTGATTGTTGATGTGCTCTTTTCTTGCTCAGAATTAGATTTTTAAGTTGATCATCCTTCCATTTTGGAAACTTTAGATTTTTGTGCCTGTTCAATGGCGTAGATAACTTAATGGCATGATTCAGATTTTCGTAAAATAATTCGCATACTTTATCAATGTTCTGTATTAAAAGAATATTGTCCCCAGTCAGTGAAAAAACCTGTTGGAAAATATTGTAGTTGCAGTGCTTGAAGTTATAATGCCAGTAGTCATAAGCTAAGTCGACTTCATAGTCCAAACTAATTTCAAACTCAAGAGCTGGATGAAGTTTATCAATCCTTGAGACAAGATTTGGAATGGCACTGATTAAAACATTTTCACTATTGCTTGGGATGAGATCCAAAAAATTCCCATAAGGAACTGGTATTTGATTTAATTGTGACAACCCACAGGATGCCATACAATCTGCAAGCCAGCTTGTTTTTTCACTACTGAGTCTAAAACTAGAATGGGAATTTGGTGAAATAGGTAACTGAAAAACAAGGACTGCAACATTATTTACTTAAACTTCATGATGATAAAATCTATGGAGAAGGCATATTGACCAAAGTTGATTTACAAAGATTATTTCATTCATTATAAAATAGACCAATCAGACAACGTCATTTTTTGAATAAATTTTGTTTAAATAAGTGATTATTTCACAAGACCTGTTTATCAGCGATTAAATTTTTGTTTACCTTTTTTGACAGAATTTTGATAGAAATATTCTGACATTTTATAATAAAAAATAGAACTTTTTGTTTGTGGCTTCAATCCTAATAATTATTCAGGAAATAATCTAGCCGTATATCACTCGACCTAGAAATTTAAATGGATTAAACTATCCAAATATTTTTCGCACAACTTTGCTTTTTGGCAAATAGTTTCATGCACAATAACTTTTAAATAAAAGCCCTCGACCGCTTCGCGGTCTCGAGCTTTTATTAAGTTATTGTGCATTCAACTATTTTCCAAGCAAAATCATGCTCAAAATATGTTGCATAGTTTAATCGATTAAATTTGAAGGTCTTGTGATATAATATATGAATATCACCTGAATTTAATTTCTTAAGGGATACATACCTCATACCATAAGGAATAATGAAACTATGTCAACACGAATAATTATGATAACTCTGAGATTCCAAATACCAAAAATAGGTAACAAACGTGAAGAATTCGAGAATTGTCCAAAGTGAACAACAACACCACTAAAATATATCGAAGATCAGATCAGGAGGATTCGATTTATATCTTAAAATATAGTTAGGAGAAGGAGGAAGACTGGAGTTGTGTATATGGACTGGTATACAAGTTGGTGCTCACCAAAGTACGCATAAATTCAATACATTGAATCGATGAATTTATAGGAGGAGAAAACGGTGAAGAGAAAAATTAATAATTTGACATTTCACTAAACATAACAGTCGTAGAAGCTTCGTTTTCAATATCTAAGGGCATAAAGTAATAATTAATATCAGGACTTCATTAATTTGAAAATAAATACATATATTTTAAAGCCATAAAAAAAACGCCTCATAGGCCAAAATCTTTATCACACCCCCACGCACATAATCCAATACTCGCGTATCCAGTTAAGCCTTATACCAGAAATCCAATCCCAATCTCCACCCTCCCCTATATCTAGAGGAAACCCTTCTAATCTAATTAAATCTCCCTTGTTACAGGTGAGAAGCCGCACAAGTGCGTCGTGTGCTCGAAAGCGTTCAGCCAATCGTCGAACTTGATCACGCATATGCGCAAGCACACCGGCTACAAACCCTTTTCGTGCGGACTTTGCGAAAAAGCGTTCCAAAGGAAAGTCGACCTGAGAAGACACCGAGAATCGCAACATCCCTCGGTCCCCGAGGCCGTCATCAATTCGATTTACCGGCCCACCGATATATCGATGACTGAAATTAGCGCTATGAATAATAATAATGTTAACAGTTAGGTTTTAAGTTGGGTGTAGAGGTTTTGTAAAACAGGGTAAAAAATGGACCAAGGTGTATAAGGGTGATACCTTATTGATTGAGGTAGAAAATGGCCTCGACTAATATTTTCAATGAAAATAGTGCAGTGGAATTAGATCAATATTTTTTGGATGCAGTATCATCTTTTCTACATGGGGTTCCAAAAGCAAAAGAAGTACAGACCTAATTTCACTCTACTAAAAACCTTTTCAAATTTAAACCAAATAATTGTTAATTTAATTATATTGTTTCTTATATAATTACATATATTTCTGTCAAACAGAGTCACGTTAATTGGAAATATGTTAATGGTAATCGTCATAAAGAAAATGCAAACATTTTATTACAATTCTTTAAAGTATAATACACATTTATTGATTGATGTGCAACTACATCATTTTTATATCAAATTCTTTCATTACTTATAACTTTTAATATTTACTTGCTTGCCATGATATGTGCCATCCATAACATAATCCCGTGTCATGTTGCCATATCCCATATGTAAAAGCAAAAGAGAGGCCACATCAAGTGAGTTTTGATTATAAATCCGTCCAAATGAATATTTCCAAAGTCTAAATTTTAGATTTTTTGTAATTGTTTTTTTTTTTCTAGATGTAATACCCATATTATAATAATATTAATTGTACAGTTTGTTAATAAGTTAGTGTAAATAAATGATAAATAATATTTTCGTTTTGATGTTCTAGTCTAGGCAAAAACAAATTGTTTATATTGTTACCATTTTTTTGTAGAAAGTGCAAATAATTCGATTCTAAATTTTTTATTATTAGATTTTTTTTTCTGCACGTTTGCTTTCTATTTGCACTTCGATTTTCAGTTTTACTAACGAGTCGTCCATAATTGGGGCTTTTTAGTAAAACCTCGTACAGCTGAAAAACCAAAGACTCTTTTTGTAAAATTGTATAGTTAATTTTTTTTTTTGTATAAAGCTTGTAGAAATTTCGTTTTTTTTTTTGTTCTATTGTAACGTAACTGGATTTTGGGGACCATATAATTAAAATTTATTCTACAGAGTAGTTGAAGAAGATGTTTCGATTTTTACATATACACCTAAATAAGTTGTATTTTTTAAATAAAACTTTTTGATGATTATTTTTTTGTTGTTGTTTTATTTTTTATACTTATCAACGAAAGTAATTATGAATGGATACACTTTGAGCCTGCTATCATCTATCTTTGGAGACTATACAGCGTTTCATAAAATCCTCTCGGCTCTAAGCTTTGTTAAAGAAAATGATAAAAAATTATACAGGCGAACATATGATGATGCGTTTCGAAGTTATCATTTGGCAAAACCTCGAGGGACACTGGACACCCTGTATATATTGAAAACATTTGCATGAGCCATTTTTGACATATCTTAGCTTAAATTATTAATAGAATGTAGAGAAATTCCATAAGGATCTCTATTTTTTTCAAGTTCCTTTGCAATTTATTTAGGTATAATTTAAGCCAAGATATGTCAAAAATGGCTCACGCAAATGTGATCGATATATATTTGGAATCGGGAAGAAAAGATCTTTCATTTTATCGCTAATATACACGGTGTTCCATTGAAAAAAGTCGAAGTTGTCTACGTTTCTCCATTTTCCGATACGATTTTGTTTTTTCTGATAACGTTAAAAGAAAATATAGAAAAAAAGAACTGTCAAGTTTTGAATTTGAATTTTTTTAAAATCCTAAATAGTAAAGGCTGTAGATGGTCTCAAATGTAATCTAATACCCTGTCCAAACTCATTAAAATCATGCTATAGCAAGAGACAGTCTCTTGTATCGGAGATCACTTTTGAAAGTTTCATATTATCTGCAAAGAGCTTATGATCACTGTGCTTAAAGCCTGCTCCGGCATCATTAATAAAGCAATTAAAGAGCAGTAGTGCTAGATGGGAACCTTGGGCGACTCCTGAGAAAAACTTTATTGTATTAGACAGAAAAATGTTTACTTTAACAAGCTGGGTACCTACGTCCAGTCATGTCTCTCTCAATCCAGTCAAGCATGGAACCCGAAAATCCATTTAATTTAAGTTTGTGGATTAAGATATTGTGAGGCACTCTAACGAAGGCCTCTGCAAAGTCTGTATAAATGTACCATGTACTTCTAATTCATTTTCAAAGGGTTCGATGATATTTGATGAGAGTGAGAACAGATTTAGCTCCGTATTTCGGCCAGCACAAAATCCAAACTGGTTATTTGAGATCAAAGGTGAGAGTACTGATGTTAAGTAGTTTGTTTCAATATCTTGGGAATTGTGCTTATAAGTTATATTACTTATTGGCCTGTAATTCCTCACGTCTCCACTATCTCTAGACTTGAAGATGGGAGCGATATAACTAGATTTCCAGACGTCTGGAAAGTGACCAGAGCTTAAAGACTCGTTAAATATAATGTGCAGAGGTCTGGCAACTATAAGAGGGTAATTTTTAATCAGAATGGGGTGAATTTTATCCGGACCAGGACCTTTGAAAGTATTTAAGTTGGATAGTTCAGAATATATATGTAAGATATTGAAATAGCATAAGATGATATTATTTAGGGAGGTTTCTTTTCAAATTTTGGTTGATTTTGAGAGTATACTGATCTGAAGTTGTTTGCAAAAAGGTTAACTGCATCTACACCCATTTCACATGTTGCATTGTCAAGGGAGATGTTGGAGGGTAGACTATGAGAATTGCCTTTAGAGTTTATGGATTTCCGAAACTGTTTTGGATCATTGTTGAGAGAGGCTTGAACATGTTGGATATACTTTTTGTAGCATTGCTGAAATAGGAACTTGCATAGAGTGCACAATTTAGAGAATTATTGATTGTTGAGATAGTAAGGAGCGAAAAATTGTGTGGGCAATTTTTTTCTCAATAGTTAAACGAATGAGTTCTTGTGTAAACCATTTTGGAAATTTCCTACTAGCAACTTTTTTGAAAGGAACAGAAAGGTTCATTGCACTGTTGAGAATATCATAAAATTTCTGTACCATATCTTGTATGTTTAAGCTAAACAGAATCTAATCAGAATTAAAGGAACCCAGATAGTTGTTAACGATAGTACCTATAGTCAACGAATTTAAACTCGTTATAGAAAGTTTCTGCTTTAGGACCGATAGAATTTATTTTGTTATGTGAATATTTAAGGTAAAAATGGTGGGTGATGTTTGTCTATTTTCACTAGTCGGTCACATTGCTGTATATCAAAAACTTCTTGTGAAAGCACTAAATCTAATATGACATTGTTCAAATTAGAAATATAATTTAATTGGAAAAGATTATTATATGCACACATATCTGACACTGTACCAATAGAGTCAATGGTTTGAGATGAAACGTATAGAGCAGTCCGAGGTAGAGCAATGAAGCAATCTTCGATAAGATTCCATTCAACTCGTGGTAAATTGAAATCACCAGCAATCTAAAGGATGACGCTCAATGATGAGCAGCGCGGCAAAGAGGACTTCTTACAATAATTGTTTTAAACGGAAGTACGGTCACTTTTGCTCTTCCGACAAGTGAGCGTACTCGTACTCCCGTTTAAAGTAATGTATTATAAAAAATCCTCTTCGCAGCGCAGAAATGTGAGGAATTTTTAAGCATCCGAATTCATTCAGCTTTTCTTTGTTCAAAACATACAAATATTTGTTTCAACTCTGCATTCGTAGGAACAATATAGCAAGGCAATGACTTGTGAACAACAATCAAGGTGCCTCCCATTGAATTATCTGTGCTGGTTTTAGTGGATCGGTCTTTTCTGAAGACAATGTAGTTTTCCAGTCCCAATTCAGCATTTGATATGGTGTTTGATAGATTGGTTTCAGTAAGCATAATTAAATCGTAATCATTTGTTGAAGAGTTTCAAGTAAGGGATGTCAACTTTGTTTTTAATTCGTGAACATTCTGGTAATATAATGTGAAGTTTTTTTATTGATTTTATTAATGAAGGCTTATGTCCGTCATCTACTACTTGTTTACGGTCATAGGTAGTCGCGAAACCAATCATACACCTTACTCTGAATGCCTAGAGCCTGTAATTTTTGTAAAAGTAAATTTCGATCTATGGCCTGGAAAACCCGCTTCAAATCCAAGAAAGCCACCACAACACATTCTCCCTGATCTAAACTCTTTTTCCATTTTGCAATTGGTAATTGAACTGCCGACTCACATGAATGATGAGACCTAAAACCAGACTGGTAAGACATTAATAAACTATTTTTTTCTAGATACCTAATTAATTGTTTATAAACAATAGTTTCCAGAACTTTTTCGCGGCCGGGCAAGGTATTGATTGGCCGAAACTCCCATGATTTATTAGAGTTAGCAGTTTTCTGGATTGGTACTTTAGTGCTAGTTTCAAGCTGTCTGGGAAATTTACCAGAGGAAAGAGAACCATTCACCAAATGAAGCAAGGCATGACCAATTTAATAAATATACAATTAATAATTTCACTCCCTTTTTTGTTTTCCAGTTCAGCAATAATTTTAGACAGGTCAGAAAAATCGATACCTTTGAAATGATCAAGAATAGAAATTACATTATAAGAATTACTCCACTGCAGGCTAACCGGTATACTGGATACAATCATGTTCATACTTTTAATGAAAAATTTGTTAAATTGATCTGCAATTTGATCTGACTTCCTATACATAACAACATGTCCGTTTATTTCGAATCGGATGCCGTTACTAAAGCAGTACTCTACAACCAGTGTTGACCAACAGTTTAAGAGTTTTCCACATAGCAGGATTCCTCTTATTCAAATTAATTTTATCATAAAAATTTTGATTCTTTTTAGCATCCAGAGTGGCTACATATTAATTCCCGAGAATTCGATACTTTTTCCAGTTTTGATTACTCTTGTTAAGAAAAAGTTTATAGGCTTTATCCTTTTCAAAAACCCTAGTGGCAACTTCATGATCATATCATGGCACACTTTCCTGTTTTTCAAAAGAGGACCTAATGGGTGCCACATTATTAACTACAGTTTCACAATTAAAAATAATATTGTCAAGAATGTAGTCTACGTTCACGCAACTCAATAAAAAAGCGCAAGACAACAGGGTCCTCATTCTTGAAACAGGGGAGCAGCGTTCCCAGGAGAACTAGTGTTCCGTCTTTGTTCCTTATATTATTATTTACATATCATTGAGAAAGACGGAACAGTCGTTTTCCTGGGATCGTTGCTCCCCTGTTTCAAGAATAAGGACTCAGATCATAGCATACTTTTTCCATATTTTCAGAGCTTTAATTTCTGTATTTAACCTCAACCTTATTCAGATTATCAATTTTTTTATTATTAATTTACATTTACAGAAATTAGTGAGTGGTCTGATATTTTAGGGATATGGTGGACTTTGGATACCACATCAAAATTTGATAAAACACAATCAATTAATGTGGTCGAAGAATCAGTACATCTTGTAAAATCTGCTACAAGCTGTGTTACTCCCGTATGTTGAAAAACATTTTTAATTTTTTTGACATAGGTGGAAATCATCACCCTTAAAAAGATTTAAATTAAAATCAGCTACCAATATACACTTTGTATTATAACAAAAGATATCCTCACAGACTTTTTCAAAGTTTTCAATGAGAACTGAATGGCTAGGATTTGGAGTATAATATAACACTCCAACTCTCATTTCAACCCCATGAAGATTCACCAAAATTCCCTTACATCAATTATTAGATTCCAGAATAAATGTTTTGTGTGTCCTAAACCAAAATGTCTCGCCTTACATAGATCAATACTCCGCCTGTGTATATAGAGCTATACAATCGCATCTCATCATGTTATAATCTTGTAGGGAAATCTCCCTATATGTGGTATCTTCAGTTGTGCAAGTTTCACCATCGTGCACTTTGTGCCAAGTCTTGATTTGATATAGTCTTAGGTATGGTCTTATTAAGGTTTTAGGAGACTATCGCAAGCAGCTTGTGCGCGGCCTCTGGTTGCCTATTAGCTATAACTCGAATATGGCCGCCGCCTGTATTGGTATTTTTAATAGATACTCTTCTTTAAGACACAAAATTTTGAGTAACACCACTTTTTAAAGGTTCTAGGATGTCCATTAAATATAATTTATTATTCACAAAATGTAATAGTTATTTATGTATCAAGGGTACTAAGTAGATGATTATGCCCTGAGGGCGACAGTCTTACAAAGCCGAGGGCCTCTGGCCCGAGGGTTCGTAAGTCGCCCGAGGGTATATATATCTATTAGTACCCGTGGTGCATACAAACTTTTATGTCATACCAGTTGGTTGTGAATAATAAATGCCTGGGGAAAAAGTGTCACTTCGCAAATTGTCATCAGTGTGCAAACAT